TAAAAATTTATAATATTATAATAAAATATAATTTTTAAATTGATTGACCAGATACTTTTGATAGGGTAGTGTATATTGATAATTAAATATTTTGATATTTTTTATTAAACTAATAGTATTAATGCATTTAAATTTGATTTTATTTTATATCAAATTCATATCTAATTAATCTAAAATAGTTTTTTAATATTCAAATTTTAAATATTTAAATAAATAAATTTTATCAAATGTTAAGATACTAATCTATCTATTTTTTTTTTTTTAAATTGATATATATATATATTAGTTTTAGTTTTATATTGTAAATATAATAACCTTAAATCAAATATTTATTCAATAAGAGGTAATTAACATTTTTATTAAACTAATGAATTAAGATTGAAATTATTAATTTTCTTTTAAAATGATTATAATCAATTCCAATTATATATAATACATAATGTTATGTTATCAATTTATTCTATAATCTTGTATGATAAAGCATTTTCATTAACTAATAATATGCAAATGATTTTGTTTTATTTTTTACAGTTCTACTATTAAATTAAAATTTCTTATACAAATTTGGATTTTAAATTGCTAAAATTGATACTTATAAAAAAATTGTTTAATAAACATGAGATTTTGAATTCAAAGATTTATATAAATTTAAGTTGATTAAAAATGATTAAATTTGAGATTTTTTTATCCATTAAAGTATTTTGAAAAAAAAAAACGCCTCTATTTTATCCAAGACGAGAATGAAATTCGCCCGTGATGTACACGTTATTAAAGAATTTGATCATAAAACGTCATTATTTACCATGCAATGAGGTAATAATCACGTTACTTATACTTTTTAATTTAATATACGCCCTTATACTTTATTTATGAATTTAAAAAAAGTTATTTATATCTTATTTCTTTATGGAAACGAAGATTTAAAGTTCAAAACGTAAAAAAGAAATATTTTAGATTAAAAATAATCAATCGCATTATTTCTTTAACCTAATTTGAAAACCACAACATACATCAGTAATCTCCGGTACATCCTTTTTCTAAAACGGTCTCTTTTTTTATTCACAATTATATAATTTACATGATGACGTCCAAGAATTCACAAAATATAGATCAAAGCGTTCCAAATAACCCTGATTATCAACCAACTCCTGAGCCATTCACATCTCCAGAAAACCCAAATGGTCCTAATAACGGCGGATGTTTACCCCTGGCAGCCCTGGGTGGGATGTTCATTGAACTCGGTAAAAAGATATTTAGATGTTGACCAAAGTCGAAATGAGCCGTATTTTAATTTATTTTTTTTTGTTTTCAATAAACAAGACGTCATGTACAATGAGTTATTTTCCAAAAATTAGTGCTTAAAGAAACTCTCCATAATAAAATATAAAACTTTATTTAACAGAAAAAAGAATCTTTGGAATAAATATCTGTCGTTGGAATATTTTCCATGTATGTCCATTGAACAGGATGGTTATACGACATAAGAATGAAACAAGTGAGGAACGGAGTTAATTTTTTTTATCAGAATTTGGAAGCTGGAAATTTGCGGGGAAACACGGTACGGATTGCGATATGTAGGGGGAAATCAAGCCAATTAACAAGCAATACGTTAAACATGAATCAAACTGAAGTTATTATTGAAGCTTTAAATACGCATCCGAATATATGCAATGTAGAATGTGACCTTTTGAGTCAGTTTCTCATGCTCGCTTTCATTTAGTCTTTTTGTTTCAATGATATCTCGTTTCAAAATAACCTTTTTTCTTAATAATAATGAAAAAGGTCATTTGCGTATGCCATTGAGTATTTTCGTGTGAATCTAATCTTTCAATGAATTCGAAATTGCACATTAATGGATGATGCATCTTGGTCATTTTATCGTGATTTCAAAGGAAAGAAGAAAAAAAAAAAAAAAAAAAAAAGCAAGCACATAGGTTGCCAGTTTTAGTGACCATTCACTGAGAGATGAGCTATTCTCAGTCCAGGGTGACCGATAGCGTGTCTGTATGCGAAAATTATCAAGATGCAAACTGCAGGATTGAAAAAAAAAGATAAAAATAAAAATAAAAAATAAATCTGGAAAAGTGTCATTTTATAATTTTTTTTTGCCAGATTTATCATAGAATGGCCCCTAATTTTAGCTTCAAGTTTAATTATAATTATCATGCAATGTAATCTGGTGGGCTAAATTTCAAACGGTAAATAATTAATGAAGCTTATTGCTGCTATATTTTTTTGTCGCGATAGAATACCACCGCATGGAAAATTTTTTTTTCATTTCGTAATTGATGAATGACATTTACATGCGGGGCTGTCCCCACAAGTAGAAAAAAATTCTCCATACTTGGCCTGATTCAATTTATTACGTCTCCTTTTGTTTTGTTTGAGATCTATCAAAGCAAGCGTTGTGTCACTTCCTTTCATTTTGTTAAATGTTAAATCCGGTCTTTGCCATACCCTTAAAATATGTGCTTATTTTTTCAGGGTTGATTGCTTGATTTATAAAGGATCTACGAACGAATTACATGACAACAAATGCAACAAACGAGTCGGTTGTACCGATCAAAAACAAACAAGTAATCAAAAATAAAAAAATAAAAAAAAGGAACCCAATGGATTCACTTTAAACTGTGGTAATAAAAAAACTTCAGCTTTATGCTTCTTCAACAAATATTTGTATTTATTGCGTCTTTTTTTTTTTGACTACCAATTGTTACACGATTCTTTTTAACATAACAACAAGAAAACGCGAAAAGAAAACATTCGTTTTCCCCTTCCTTTTCTCGAGTAATAATAATGTTTTCCTTTTTTTGGCGATTGTTTTTTGATTAAACCCCGCCACAAATGTAGCAATTAATAGACGAACAAATGAGAGTTGAATTAATTTCATTAATTTGTATTACGGAGAAAATTAGTGTGCGTAAACTTAAAAAATTTTTTTTTAAAAAAAAAAAAAGAAAAAAAAAAAATGTTTTTTTATATCGGTTCGTTAGTTTTTTTTTTATCTGCAAATAAAGTCACATCCCTTTTGTTATAAAAAAGAGATAATTGTTATAATGGTTATCATCTGAAAGAAGATAATACATCTCAATAATGTGTAACAATTAATGCATGAATAAACAAATTTTACTGCAAAGAATTTTTTTTTTATTACATTTTGATCTTTATAATGCGCAATTAAACGTGAAGCATCAAGAGACATACACAATTAAGATTTATAGAAAGGAAGGATGGTTATCAACGAGGTTGACGTGATTAATATCTTGACGCGTCTTTATTTTATCCCTCTCGAGGGGATTAATCAACTGAGATTTCGGAAAGGCGCCATTGTGAGTGAAAGTTACACTCAAAAATTTAATGTTTGTTTGATGTTCAAGAGCACTGCTTTGATGGACGTACAATCTATGTAATATGTTATCATCAGTAAAGCTCTTCTAATGGAATTAATTTTTTCTATAAACATCAAATGTTAGAAATCGAAAAACACGGTTTAAATAAGTTTCCGAAGAAGACGAAAAAAAAAAAAATCTTTCAACAGCATATGAAAGAAGAAATGATTGCACGTATGATCATGAGGTATTTTAATACATGACACCATCCTTGAATTCTTAATTTAAAAATATTTTTTTTTCTTTTTTTTTTGACCCACGTTGTGTTACCCAAACATGTATTTGGAAATAGTAAGTGTAAACAAGGAAACTTGTCCCCATTTGCCACTAACCAATTGGTTTTTGTTGAATACTTTTTTGATAATATTTTGGTCATACGCAAACCGCAGTTAATTGGGAAAAAGGTTAGTGCGGCGTTCAATGGAGTACAATGTGAAATTAAATCCAGGAATTCCAGCGAAAGTTGTCACTAAATATAGGAAACATATTTAAATATTTATAAACAAGAGAAAATAAAAAAAACATTCTATATATATATATCATGCAATGCATGATCCAGTTTTTTTTTTTTTTTTTTTTTTTTTTTTTTTATATCAAAGTGTAAATCTGTTCTCTGGAATTTTTCTTCTCCGGGTTCAATTTTTATTCTTGACTAAATAAAAATTTTCCTTTTGATGTACCCAATTGTTCTTCAAAGGTCATCAATTTTCTTCTCTTTTTTTTCCCTCACAAAATATATAATTTTATAATTATTTCTTTTTTCTTTTTTTTTTTTTTATTTTTATTTTTATTTTTATTTTTTTTCTACATTTTCATTGTTTAAATATATTTTTTTGATTAAAAAATATTGTTGAAACAAAGAAAAATTTAAATTTCAAACCCTCGGAGCATTTCTCTTTATTTGTAATCAAGAGCTCATTATTATCCATTAAAAGTATTTAAATAACATACATTAATTATAATTTATTTATTTCTTTAAAACATTTTTTATTTTATTCTCGCCTCCCCCTATTGTTTATAACCAAAAGCTCCTTGGTCAAAAGGAAAACCCCGTGGAAGAACAAATTATTGTATTTTTCAACACATTAGAAAAGATACATTATTTAAATAATAACATTATTATTTATATTCTTCAACGCGTAAAATCCATACGCACTTTTGCAATATTTATTTATTATATTATTTTCTTTTTTTTTTTTTAAAAAAAAAAAGACGATAATCAATTTATTTATTTATTTATTTATTTCGTATTAAATACTTTATCCGGTTTAATTTATCTCACCTATCAACCATCGTTATTCGTTCGTTTGCTGCCTTTTAGCATAAATCGTTATCGAATCAAAATTTACACATAAAAAATTTCCCGAAATCTTTTTTTGTTTAATTACTCTAATATCGCACAAACATTCATCGAGTTTTCTATATATAACCCTCATCCTTTGTCGCGTTTTACAAAATTTTAATCATTTTAAATACTCTCTCAACCCGCACAAAATTTTCCTCTCTCCCACTGGTTTGGGATAAGAAATCATTTTTTATATAATCAAAAAAAAAAAAACAAAAAAAAAATCGCATTTTAACATTTTATCGCAACGTTATCACACCAAACCATATATAACCGGAGCCGGGAAAGAAAAAAAAGGATTATACTTATTTTGATTAATCTGCGTCAGTATTTTATCTATCGTAAGCTTTCCTGCACGCCCACATTCCACATTTTTGATTTTCTTCAATTCCATACACGTAAGTTTTTATGGGTAAAAAATAGGTGACAATATGTTTTTTATTTTTATCATCCATTATATTATTTATTAACCATTAATCATCAAACATAAAAAAAAATTAACGTTTTACGACATCTTTTTTTTTTTTTTTTCCTATATCACCAAAACTTTAAATTTAACGATTTATTGGTTCACAAAAAAAAATTTTTTTAATATCCCCTTCCGCCTGATTAATTCACAATTTTGCATTGGGATATACTAAATTCCGTTACTGCATTATCCTGCCCTTTTTTGTCACGAAACTTGTAATCAAACCTGTATATCAATCAACTTTTATATATTTCCCATCAGCTAATCTAAAAAGAAAAAAAAGAGTTCTTTAAAAAAAAAGGTTGATTCCTCCTCCTAAAAATCATTTTTAAATAATCAACGACTCTTCTGATATTCTTAAACAAAGTCAAAATAAACCATGACGCGTTCTACATACAAATTTGGAACCCCTTGGTCAACGGTTAAAGCTGTAACTTTTCGTCCACGAAGACTCTTTCAAAATTCCGGAGCAAGCCGACGTGGAAGCGTGGTCGGAAATGTACTTTCTCACATCATGACAAAGACGAGTGTAACGAGTAGAAACAGTAGGATAGAGTTTCCCTTCACCGTTACGGATCAAGAAAACTTGAGAATAGCCGTCCAAGAGCAATCAAATCAAAAAGCAACCTCTCAAATACCCACAACCGCCACAACTGAAAGTACAATCACCGTAACCTCGAATAATTCAAATGGCCTCACTCAACTTCGAAAAAAAGGAAGCAAAAAATTTGTTCTAAGCTTTAGTAACATAAGTAATGGCACTAAGAGTTCCAACACACCAAAGAAGTCTAAATCAAGTTCACCGGATGTAAGTTTTTTCCGTTTCACAAATAAAAAAAAATTTAAAAGGGGAAAGCTCTTTCCTTTTTTTTTTAATAAGGGTTATGAGGGTTGATCATGCAAATGGTTCGGTTACGCAATCGTGCCACCATTGTGGATCTATAACAGTTGTTATCCTATTGGTGAATTCTTTATTAATTATGGACGAATCAACTTGGTTCGTTTTTATTTTAATTACTATAAATATAGGTATTCATAGTAACCATTGAAGATAAACTTCAAATATTGAGCATCACTAGAACTATTACGGAATTTGTCGAATTCGATCAAAAGGTTTTGTGTTACATTTTTAGTTAGGTTGAATCTTTTTTTTTTCCTCGGACCTAATTCTAAAACCTTGCCCCTTCGATCCTGATCTCGTAATAGCTACGACAAGAATTCCCAAAACCACGCCCGACTTTGCCTTCGTTAGATGACCGTCGAAGGGCTTTCCTCTTACCAAAGCATTTCTTTTTCCGAAAATCTACCGCGGAAAAACTCGAAAGCTACTTGAGAAAAGTATTATCCGACATCAACTTGAAACATTCTTCTGTGCTTAAAGATTTCCTCAGCGTCAAGAATGATAAGGATAGCATAAGATGGAAAGATCCGGCATTAAACGCGAGATCCGAAAATTTACCGTCACCATTGCGCCGATCAAGGTCAAGGGTCCTGCGATCATCGTGTTATAAAGCGACAATCGATGATTACGATTTAATAAAAGTTCTTGGCAAAGGGTGCATGGGGAAGGTAATATATATATAATTTTTTTTTTTTTATGCCCGTCATATAATAAATCTATATATATGATCTACATATATGTATTGTATGTGTTGTTTTTCAGCAGCGAGATCTTATATAAAATTATCATCATTCACGCTTAGGTGTTTCTATCCCGTGAGAAGCATGTTAACAAACTATTTGCGCTAAAAGCAATTTCCAAGGAATGGGTTGTATTTCGGCAAGAAGTCGAACATACCAAAACGGAAAGGGACATCCTTGCTTCAATTGCAACGATATCACATCCATTCCTGATTAAGTTACACGAATCATTCCAAGACACCAACCAGCTTTTCCTTGTGTTGGATTACTTTCCTGGAGGTGACATTGCGACTCAGCTTGCCAAATGGCACAAATTTGATGACGCAAGATGCCTGTTCTATGCAGCAGAAATTGTTTTAGGGATAGAAGAATTGCATCGTCTGGGCATAGTATATCGGTACGTATTTTAATGAAAAAATTCTTGACATTTGACATTTTACTTCTTTAGCCTAGTTTACTTATCCTTTATATCTTTAGTGACCTAAAACCGGAAAACATTCTAATTGGTCGGGATGGACACATAGTGCTCACGGATTTTGGCTTATCAAAACAATTCGAACCAAACTGGCAAAAGACAAGTACATTCTGCGGAACGGCTGAATATTTGGTAAGCAGACAGAAAACATATAATGAACTCGTTATATACATGATGTATGCACAAAGGTAATAATCCTTTCGATTAATTAATAGGCTCCAGAAATAATACGAGCCGAAGAATACAGCTACCCGGTTGATTGGTGGAGTCTCGGAACTTTGCTTTACGAAATGATGACCGGAATCGTAGGTGTTATTCGAATAAAGTCATTATCTTGTGAAATACGTTTTTAACCTATCAATATATATATATATGAATATTTTTTATGCAGACACCATTCTGGTCCGACGATCAGAACATGATGTATCAACGCGTATTAGAAGATGAGCTTATATTTCCAGACGGCATGATGTTTGAGTCCATGGACGTATTGCGTGGAGTAAGTGCAGGCATTATTTGAAATTCAGCAATTAGAAATACGAATACGAATTATAAATTAATTTATTCAAACTTATTTTTCGATTCAGTTATTACAACGTAATCCAATGAACCGCCTTGGATGCGGACCAGCCGGCTCAATGGAAATCAAAGCGCATGCATATTTTAGTTACGTTAATTGGGATAATGTTTACCATAAGCGTATCCGCGCCCCTTACATCCCAACAATTGAACACGAGACAGATCTTCAAAATTTCGATGATACATTCGTTAGCATGTCACCCAAATTGTCAATACACAAACAGGAAACGATGGATGATAGCTTACAGCAATGCTTTGCTGGATATTCATTCTCGGAAAGATTTCCTCAAAGATCTCCATCGTCATTATATTTTAGATCCGAGGCAAGCAGAAAAAGCATAACTAGTTCACTTGCTGGCATACCTTCACACGGGAGTCGTTCTTCGATGACTTTACCCGGTGGTTACGATTATTATGACAAGGAACGTGAATGGGATTACGAATATGATGGAAAAACCACCGCATCGGATGATATTAGCGAGTATGAATTAGATCAACATAGTCATTACTCTAAACGTCACACCATCATTTTAGGGGACAGCAACATGAAATTTCGGAATTCTTACCTCAATCCCAAATTATCACAATTCATGGAAGTAGCTCCATACGGAGGAAATAGTACCGTATCGACCTCATCTTCATCGACAAAGTTAGATCGTAGGGGAAACCTGACATCCGTGTTCCCCCAATATCAATAAAAACCTCATCAGCACATTTTAAACTATCCTTATGATTTCATCACACAATCAACAGAAAATTTTTCTAATAAACTAGCGAGAAACCGAACATGCGGGACATGATTGAGATTCGCCATTTTGGGGTTAAAGAAAAAAAACTTGTGAATTTCTTTTTTTGTACAATCTTTTTACCTTACCTTTTCTTTTCTTTTTTCCTTTCCTTTTTTCTTTCTTTATTTTTTTTTTAAAAAAAAGGTATGCTAGTTTTGTTTTCATGATTTTTAACCTAATTTCATCGCAAAAAAAAAAAAAAAAAAAAAAAAAAATTTAATACAAATGTATTATTATTTAAATTTAGAAGTACTTTCATATTTAGAAAATTACTCATTCATGTACCATAATGATATTATTTACATTCTCACATTCATCAATTTTAAAACATTTTTTTTTATACTTATAATATTACATTTTTCTTATGTAATCATTTAGTATAACCATTGAACTTTAAATTTGTTTTGCGAAGGGTTATTTTTTCTTTTTTTTTTTTTAAAAAAAAAAAATAAAAAAAAAAGGGATTCAGAAAAAGAAATTTGTAAATAATAATAAGAATAATAATTAATTAAATTAATTACTTGCTCATCTTTATTGATGTTTTTGCTTTTTATTTTTTTGAATTATTATTTATTTTTTAAGAAGTTAGGGTCGATTTTTTTATAGATTCATAGATAAGACAAATATGGTAATAGATTTTAAGAATATTACATATTAAACATTTATATAATCAAATAACAATACAACAACAACAAAACAATAATAAAAATAATAAAGTTTTATATCAATTATTCCTAATTTAAATTAAAATCTTGTTTAAATTTTAACCTCCATTGTTTACCTTTAAATATTACGACAATGACCAATAAAGTTCCAATAATTTTCAAAAACGCTACCAAACTAAAAGTCCATCCAACACCTAACGCTTCATATATAGGTACCGAGAACAGAGATAATAACCCAGCGACCAATTGCCTTGAAAAATTTGAATTCGCAGCAATTGAAGCGGATTGAGTTGGAAATGATTCCACCAGGTAAGTAAACATTGTTGTATATACCAAGATTTGTCCAAATCCTCCTGTAAAAAAAAAAAAAAAAAAAAAAAAATGAAAGGGAATAAGAATCAATGATAAAAAAAAAAATAAAACTTTAAATAAAATAAAAAAAATCTTTTACCAAGGAACATCAAGATTAATGGAAATATTATTGAAATTCGATTTTCTAATAACCAACCGTATGCCAAAAAACTTGTAGGTATAATGATGACACCTATCCAAATACCGTGAATTCTTATCTCAGGTTCAACCTGAACCGATTCCAACATAATCGTATCATTCTCACCTTTTTCAATTATTTTTTCGATTTCCTTTTGTTGAGCGATTAAAGCGATTCGTTTTGCCTTTCTCAAAACGTAATCAGTATATTTACCACCGATTACACTACCAAGCATATAACCCAATGCGGGAGATAAAAACACCAAACCAATTTTCGAGGCGGTTAAGTTATAGACCTTGCTGAATTCGATCGGTATTAATGATCCTTGCATGTAGATAAATGAAAGTAATATCGATATATATAGTGTCACTATGGATAAATTTGGATATCGAAAGAGGGTTAAAGGAGCAAATGGATTTATAAATTTTCTCTTGGAGGAATTTGGGGAAGAGGCGGAGGTGGTGGTCGTGTTGATTGTGGTGGGGTGAGGTATGGATTTTCGTTTCGGATAAGTTTCAGGAACGAAAAAGTATATAAATATTAATACTATAACTCCCATGATTGCCATTAACCAAAATATCCTAAAAAAAAAAAAGAAAGAAACATAAATTTAAATTTAAGTGGTCTGACGTGTTAAGGTTTGAACGGGTCTTCGATCGATATAAATATTCCCCGTTTCAATAACGTACGATTACGTTTTTAACTTACCATCTCCAGCCAAGATATTCTGTAACATAACCTCCGATAACCGGTCCAATTAAAGGTCCAAAAATTGGGAATAAATAAAAGAATCCGAATGCGTTACCAAGTTCTAATGAATCGTGCAAAGTATGGCGCAGTCAAGTATTGAATTTTGACGCGCTTTTTTTTTTTTTTTTGAAAAAAAAAATAAAAAGTCAAAAAAAAAAAAGAAAGAAAAAAAAAAAAATATAAAAACAAAAAATATACCCTCGGCAACAAACATATCACTTATTGTAGTAGGCCCGATTGCATGCAAAGCACTGGAACCGCATGCTTGAACACTTCTAATTAAAATCAACAACCAAATATTGTTTGTTATCGCACATATCACTGATGTTACGATGAAGAGAATTAGGGAAAATATATAAACATGTCTACGAGTCTGTCTGGAATCAGAATAGGCTGCACATCCCAATGGCTAAATTAAGACAAAAATTAACTTCATTTTTGATAAATGATTTCAAAAGTATTTGTGCGCTTTACTTACTCCAATGCCCTGAAAAATGATAAATATTGAGACTTTACATAAAAAAAAGGAAATGTATATTGATATTAAAAATAATAAAAATAATAAAAATAATAATAATCTTTTTTAAAATTTTTCTTATGTACTCACCTGACGCGTTTGTCAATATGCTAGTTGTATGCAATTGTTTTCGAACTTCCAATACTGCGGGATAAAACAAACTATTTTATTTTCGATCAAAAAAGTCGCGTGGTTAAAATAATGGGAATCTCCTTACATAATATTATCAGATGACTTACAAGCATGAAATGGGAGAGATAATGGCACCACATGAAAGTACCACCAAAGTTAACCATTTCTTCCTTTTGGGCCAATTAAATGGATTATCTTCAGAATTCTCATTAACTTCCTTTTCCTCAATTACGTTCGTCAATTCTGCAGTTATCTTTTTTGAATCTCTTGAACTCCTTTCATCGATGCTGATGATCAAGGATTTTGGGATTTCTTTATCGGTATTTAGTTCATCATTATCATTCGTTGAAGAATCATTATTATTATTGATCATGATTAAATATCTTCTTTTTTTTTTTTGTTATAAAAGGATTCAAAAATTACAATAAATTTGCAATGAAAATAACTCTCCAGATATTAGGTATTATTTATTTTTTAAAAAATGAATAATAAATAAGTTAGTTTAACCTGCGAAAAGATTCCACACAATATGGGTCACTTTCAACTTCTTATAAGTTGAAAAGTGTCCCATAATTTTTTGTGTTCTATACACAATTTACCAATCAATGATACTACTAAGTCTTTCCGATTCATCAAAACTTTTAATAGACGTGATTATCAAAGGAGTAAAATGCTACAATTGGTAAATGTTGAATGATTTAGTTACAAGATAAAGAGATCTTCAAAACAAAAAAAACCAAAAAAAAAGGTTATTTCAATTTCATTATTTAGGAATTAGAAATCAAATCAATATGATCATTTTCCTTGTCTTAGATTTGACAAAAGTGGGGAGAGGAATGCCAGAAGTTAACACGTGCTCAATGCATATTGTAATTTTTTTTTTTTTTTTATGTTGGGAATTTTTTTGAAATGCAAAAAGTAGGTTTGATGTAAACTTATCTATTTATGAAGCGGGTAACATATGACTGTATCTACATCATAATGAACAAAACCCCTCATCAAGTTTTAATTTTCTCTTATCTCGATTCCAAATCCTTAAAATTAAATAATGAAAGGAACAATATCAATCTAAAAATATGCCACATAATGAATGTTACATACAATGCATACAGAAAAAAATTCGCATACACAGATTACCTAGATTTCCTTTCTAAGTTGTTTTAACAACAAAAGAATCTTCTAATATTCTTGATTAAAAAAAAAAAAAAAAAAAAAGAGAATATTAATTCATCGTTACAAATTTCAATTCCTATGCTGAATAACCGGTTATATTCTTCAAGGTATAAAGATTGTAAAACTTGTCACAATTATAACCATTGGATCTTTTTGTAATTAGAAAATCTTTGATCTTCGAAATGATATTCGATTTAAAACTAGCTAACCCAGTTAATTTTGTGTCATAACGCTTTGAGAATGACAAAATTTTTAAGAGCTCGCGATATCCTAGTACATATCATATTTTTAGCAACCAATTGAACTTGTTAGTCCATTTGGGCTATTTTAATGATGTGACATATTACCTTTACCAATGAACAAAAAACTTTTAGCGCTGAAAAAATTGCAAAATGTATTCTTGTTAAAAGGTTTTCATGATTAAAAATAACGAAAAATTTTGAATTTTGTATTCTTGTTAAAGGTTTACAAAGATCAATAATAAATTATTTTATGTACCCTTTTTTTTCATTATTTCACTTCTGACCTTAAATTGAGAAAACAATTTATTCTAAAAATAGTATATAATTCTTCTCCTTATTGCGGATTTTCACATTATGTCTTGTGAACTATCTTATTAATTCATTAATTCAACAGTTCCATGTTTGGAAAAAAATAAAATAATATAATATTAACTTGTTTGTTTTGAAATTTGAAAAACGTTAAAAAAGAAACGATTGGTTTCATACGTGTGATACACGGTAGATATTTTACGTAACTAGTTTAGTAATTCTGGTTTACAAATTATTAATATTATTAATTAATATTTTAAAATTCGGGATATTTATGGTCCTTCCGATACTTTTAAAAATGTGGTTGGGTAAAGTTAATTAAATCTCCCTTAAAAGACAAGCTTATTTTGGTAACGGGCGTTTTGTTCCGGGCTTACCGTTTGGTTATAAAATGGCACTTAATTCTTTGAAAAAAAAGGTTTTTTCTTTTAAAAAAATAAAAATAAAAAAATAAAAAAAAACTTGATCTAAAGTTTCGTCAAATATAACAGAATTTTAAACGTAAACATTACCAAGAAACGATTGAAAAAGAAAATTGTTGTGATTATTGAACTTTTTTATAAAAAAAAAAAAAAAAAAAAAAAAAAAAAAAAATGAGTTGGTTTATAATGTTAAAAAGGTCCTTTAATTTTGATGTGGTTAAGGCAATTTTATCATTAATTTTTGAAGTGTTATGGACATTCTGTTTGACGGTGGTCACGGTTTATTTCGTTGGGGGATGTATATGGAGCTTAGGAAATAGTGCCATTAATGGTGGAACGAGTACCGACACAAAGGTTTTGACGATAATTGGAAATAGCTTTGTCGTTTCATTATAACGATGAATTTAATTAATTAGTAAGGATGCCGCAATTTTGAATCGAAAATATTTGAAATATTGACAGATTGATTGAGATTAATTTATTCGGCAAGGGAAGATCAAAGAAACTTTAATGGAAAAACATTATCCCCATTTAGTGTGATGTCAGGTTATGCAAGGTTACAACATTAAATTCGGACTGACATTCATCCCTTTATCATTTTTTTATTTTATTATTTTTTTTCTCACTATTCTCTCACTCTCTCACACACTCTCTCTGTAAGAACAATAATATCTTTTTTATGAAATCTTTTTTTCATTACTAAAAGATTTTAATATTGTTTCTAGAAGTAAATATTTTTTCATTCAATAGTATGGTTAGAAGAATAGAAACGGATCGACCCTTTTTTTTTTGATTATTTGATTATTTGTATTTGAACATTCTATCTATGTATGTATTGTTACAATGTAACCAAATTTTCTGTAATCCAAACTTTAATTTCACCAAGGCGTGTCAAGATTAGAACCAATCATTACGGTCTATAACAACAATGTCATTAAATAATAATAATAATAATTGAACATTTCGGGTGTTGATCACTCTAATCCTTTAATGAGCTCTTTCATAAAAATACTTTCCAATTTAAAATCAAAAGGTCGAACAAAAAAAAAAAGAAATTCCATTCAAAAAAGGTATCTAATTCCGGTTAGACAAATGTTTTACGTATCACAAGAGCACAAGAGCGCAAAAAAAAATATTTTTCTTTTTTTTCTCTTTCGTTGTTTCAGAGATTCTGATGTCATAATATGTATTGCCCGATTTTGGAGATTTATTACACCAAAAGATTGTATATTACGGTCACATCTTTTGAATCTCGGACTGATTGGGATGAATGATGAAGGTTCGGATACACCCTTTTTTTTCCTTTCGAAACGAGATGTGAGAAATGAAATCCCCGCCCGATTTGCATCATGTTCGCCGCAGCAGCAGGTCCAGTATATTATATCGTATCGAGACGCAGCACATACTACATCAACATTATATAATAAGCATAAACCATGTCGATTTGCAAGAAGCTGCGAAACCCCACTTTATTTTTGCATACTGAACGTGCTTTCCTCCACAAACACTCCGCATTGAACACATTGTTTCTTCCCCATCTCACGTTTCACACATCTTTACTTTTCTCTGACCTTTTTTCTCATATTCTTTGTTTCCGTTACGATTAAATCAAGAAAGATGTCATGCATGATATGTATCGACATGGGACAATTGAAATCATTCAACCTTATTTCCATCTGAAAAAAAAAAAAATTTAAAGAACGACAATCAATTCACTATATTTGTGCTAATAATGTGTAAATGATGTGTTTAAACAGGATTATCTAACAATCAGCCTTTATTCAGAAGGGAAAATTACAGTTTAGAAGGAAACCGAATATCAGAATTTCTAAAATTTCATTATTATCTATACCATATTAAATTCTATTGAATATCAAAAAAAAAAAAAAACAATAATTTCGAAAATAAAAAAAAAAAAAAAAAAAAAGATTTGTCACTTGCGAATCTGTCTCCTGACCCTTTTTTTTCCTCCAACTATTAGAATTTTCTCGGAGAAATTAAAAAAAAATTCCATAGTCTCCAGACTTATCAAATGGAAAAAATAATTTCTCCACAAAATTCCAAAATTAAATTATTTACAATAAACAAATAATAAAAATCACAATCAAAACATCGTATGCAAATGTATGCAAGTAAAAAGAAATTCGAATATGATCGCTCTTTTTGATTATGTTCATAATGTTCCATATTAGAAGTTAGGAGATTCTATTCTATATATTTATACACACATGTGTATGTATATCTATATTTATATTTATATTATATAAAAGAGATCCATTGTATCGGAAATTTTTTTCTATAAATAAAAATTTTTTAAAAAGTTGAAAGAAGATTGAGATCAGGAGTTTCAAACATTAAAATCATCAGTTCTTTTTGAGATTGTATTGTTATCTCGTGAAGGTTTTTTTTTTTTTTTTTTTTTTTTTTTTTTTGAATCAAGTTTTCGATCATAACGAGAACAATCAAATATGAATTTAATGGAGAGAGTACAAACGGTATTTTCAAGTGATTATAAGTATTCGCGGAACAAAAAAAAAATGTAAAATGCGGAAAATCGTTACCGAATTTCTTGTTTGCAAACAGGAAATTAATTTAATTGGTTAATCAGAAATGAAAGAGAAAATTTTTTTTACCTGTCATTATCTGTTTGTAGTTCATTTATCTTTTTAATATGCATCACTATATGCATTTAATCTAAACATCGTTGACGTGTACTAAATATCCTCTTTGATAAATTTCAAACTTCCAAAGGATTTTAACGAAATAAATATTGATTTTCTCGTTAAATGACGATAGACCCGTCATCGACTTTGGGTAAAACTTTTATACTGTGAATTTCATCGGGCATAATTTATTCCTTTGGGTGTAAAATGCTGTCATGCTCTCATTATTTATTTGATTTTGATTTACATGAAATAGCTTATTTATTGATATTTTTATATGATGCAATACTTGTATTACTTTTAATTTACAAAAAGGTTATTATAATAATAAAAAGGAGTTATAATCGGCAGTTTAAAAAAATTTGATTATATAAGTTCTAAATTTTGCTTGGCCCTCCCTAAAATTTTTTTTATAAAAATACAAAAAAAAAATAAAATAAAATTTGATCATACCCAATTTTTTTCTTCACCCGTGAAGAGTTAATCAAACAATTTGATTTTTAATACTTTCTAATACTTTTCAATCCCCTTCTTGTATTTTTTTTTTTTTCACATAATAAAAATGTCACAAGTAATAAATGTATCCACAAATATCTCAAATTCATTATTATTAAAAAGTAATGAATTATCCTTGAAATTACAACAATCTTATTCAAATGCAATTGAAGAAATTGCTCTCGAAATGAATGTTGAGTTTATTAACTTCAACGAATTTGCCAACGTTAGCGAAATAAAAAGTGATTTATATGGTGATAATGTGAGAAAAGCCGTATGGAAAGAAAAATTATGTCCCGTTTTCTTAAAATCCGTCCCCGGATATAGTATTGAAGACCACCATAAAAAATTGATTGAAGAGGTAAAATCCCCTGACCACAATCATTTTATACCGCTGTGCACGTCTTTTTCTCATTGCGAGAAAATAAAAAATTTTTTTAAAAAAACTAATTGTAAATCTTCTAATCTTTGATGCTAAATAGATTCGACGTGCGTCACTGAATCAGAACTGTGAAAATATAATACAATTACTCGGAGTATCCGAAGGTATGCACCATCCTTTTATGCATATATGTGAGAAAAAAAAACATTATGGTTTGATTAATATTTCGACAAAAAAAAAAAATCCTTTTAGATCCATCAGATAAAAGCGCCATACTTGTAATACAACATCCTAACGATGGTACTCTAAGAGAATATTTGGCTCGGCACCCAAATTTAGAATGGTTCAAAAAGTTGAATTTAGCTAAAGACATCGCTCAAGGAATCAGACATTTACATCGATCAGGATTTGTTCATGGAGATTTGGTTAGTTTTTTTTTTTTTTTTTTGCCGTATCTCATTTTACCAAACCGAATATTTATCATTTAATTATTATATTTAGCATGCACAAAGTGTTTTTATTGACGACGGCAAAGCGGTTATCAGAGACCCGGGATTATTCGGTTTTGAAGATGACGAAACATCATCATCATCATCATTAAATAGCGCAATACTTTCCACGATACCATACGTTGACCCACAAGTTATGGGAGACATGAAACATAAACCTGACCAACGTTCAGACATTTATAGCTTAGGCGTAATCTTGTGGGAGATATCTAGTTGTAAACCACCATTTGGCAAATCTGGAAGCCAAGTTATACTTACAATGGCCATAATGGTCAGAAAAACCCGCGAACAACCCGTCCCAAACACTTCTGAAGAATATATACAGTTATATCAACAATGTTGGGATCATGAACCCAACTTGAGACCGAATATTGAACAAATTTGTGATCAATTAGATGGTATCCCATACGATGATCCCGTTAAAGTTGGAAATAGCGTGATTATTGCTGGTAATTGTCATATAGAATTTTTAAATTAAACGAATGAAAAAAAAAAAAAAATTAAATAAATTTATTTATTTATTTTTAGATATAAGAGCGTCATCTGAAGAATCAAGGAAATCTCATGATTACCTACACCAAATTTCTTCACAAAATTCACAAGATTCACAAGACGAAGTAAATCAAGATTCAATGGCCGAAAAACCATTACCATTACAAGTTCCGATATCCAAATATCAAGACGCTAATTTAAGGTAAATAATATATCTTCTATACTTATATCTATAAATCTTTTATAATACTTAAAACCAATTTTCTTTTATGTATTTAGCGAACCAATATCTCCGGATACAATAGCTAGAATGGATAAAGAATACGAAGAGTTCAAAAAACAAAAAGGATTTAAGAAATTTAAATCAAAAATCTCAAAAATATTTAAGAAAATGTCGTGTTTTTCGTAAAATAACATTTTTAACATTTAAATTTTCATTATAAGCACAACTTCATTTTTCTCTTCCTCTCTCTTAGAATTTTTTTTTTTTTGTAATTTTATAATTTGTATATTTTTCTTGCATTTTTTATTTTTTTTTATTTATTTATTATCACATTTCATGGCAATTCTTCAAAAGAAAAAAAAATAAAATAAAAATAAAATAAACCATTTCATTTCCATATGTCATGACTTTATATTGAATCATACAATTTTGATTTTAAAACCAATAAATGCGTGAAAACCACCATATTTGAGCTATGCGCTTTAGAAAGTGAGGCTTTACCTCGGATATTCTACGCCACGGTTATGTCGGGGTTCCACAACCATTCTCGCCCATCCTTACATTTTTGTACTTAACTGTCAAAGTCTATGAATTTATTTATGGAATGCAACAATATGACTTGGCGTCTCTTACATAAAACTTTCTTGGAGTGTAGACGGAAAATGATCGACAGGGTGGATCATACCTGATTTAGAATCCCCTTGCATCATTTTGACAATGCTTTTTGCTTATCATTATATGAGTGAAAAAAAAAAATAAATAGAAAAACAACAAACTGTTAAGATACTGTATAAAATAAAAAGATTTAGTTAAAGGAATGATTTTTATAATAATAATTGCATGAATATTTAGTTTTAGTTTTCTTAACCAAATTCTTCAAAACCAGAAAATGTTTTCTTTAAATCAATTTTTTTAATAAAATTATCTTTGATATTTTAAATAAAATTGTATATTATAAATAACAAGTTAATTAATATTTTATTATTCATTAAACTTTAATTATATTTTATTAACCATTTTAATGATAATGGAATTTATTAAATATATTAAAAAACTAAAATTTTAAACTAATTATATTTCATATAATCATATTTAAAGAATCATTATTGAATATAAAAAATATAATTTATCAAAATATATTAAAACTAAAAAAAAAATACATTAATTAATTATAAATTGAAAAATTTATATTAAAAATCTATCATATATAATTAAACTTTTATAAAAATTTTTATACTTCTATTAAAAGTTTTATAATACATAATATTTTACTTTATATATTACTAATAAAAATTAAATTATTTTAGAGTAATTGGTTATAAATTTAATAAAATAATTTAAAACATTTCAAATCTATTACTATTAGTAATATATAAATTACATATAAAATATATAACAAAATTTATATATTTTTTAAATATTTTATAGCTTTAAAATAGTATAAATTTTATTAGTAATTATATAAATAAAATGAATTTAAAATTTAATTTAATTTTATTAAATTTAAAAAGGTAAAAATAAATTTATGTAAAAATATTTATTATTAATAAATTGTTTAATTACAAGTTTATTAAAAATTCAAACTATTAAAAGTAATTGAAATAAATATTATTAAAAATTAAAATAATAAAAAAATTATATAATATAATAATCAAAAGTAAAACAATAAACTAAAAAATTAAAATCAATAAATTATTTAAAAAATAAAAAAACAAGTATAAAAATAAATAAAAAAAAAATTAATATATAAAATTTTTTTTAAATACATTTTTTAGAAATTTGAAAAATATGTATTTAAGAAAATTTTTTATAATTTAAGATTGATAAAGATATATTTAGAAATAAAATATATAATATTTATATTTAAAAATGAATGTATTTCAAATAAAAAAATTTTATAAAATATTTAAATTAATTCATAAAAAAATTTTATAAATGTTATTATAATAAAATAATGTTTTATTATTTTAAATAAATTTTATAAATGTTATTATAATAAAATAATGTTTTATTATTTTAAATAAATTTAATAAAATCTGATTAAAAGAATTAAAAATATATAAAATGAATTTTTTAATTTTTTAAGATTTAAATAATAAAATTAATAATAAAAAATAAAAAATTTATAAAATTTAAAAATTGAAAAAGATGATTTTCTAATAAAAAAAAAAGTTAGATTAAATAAATTATTATTTAATAGAAAGAATTTTTAATTAATTATTATATATAATTTATACTTTAATTTTATGATGTTTTTATATAAAAATATAATATATATAAATATTTTTAAGTTAGTAATATATGGGAAGATTGCTAGAAAATCAGGTTTTAGGAAGTATTTAACAAAATTTTATTTTTATTGCATTTTAGTTTTTGACATTGTTAGATTAAAAATATAATAAGGTTTTTAATTTTAATCAAAAAATTCTTAATGCCTGATTTTCCTAGCAGATTTTCCATATGGTAAGATGTGAAACTTTAGATTTATATAAAAAATAATGTTTTAGTTAATTAAGTTAATTATTTAATCTTAAAAGCAATTAATTATTAGATTCATTATAATAGATTTCATATTTAAAAATAAATTACATTTAACTATAAAGTATAAGCATTATAATATAAATTTTTCAATAATGCCGGACATAAATATCACCTAGCTTTACTTTTTATTACATTTAATATTTCTAGTTGTAATTTTTAAAATTATTAGATTAGAAGAATTTTTTCGAAATTTATGCATAAACTTTCTCCTTTTCGGTTCTTCCATCTTGAATTCGTTTCACTCACTGATATTTTTTTGTTTATTCATCTCGGAGCTCTCAGTAAAATTAAATGCACTTTTTCATAAACTTGACATTCTATTGAAAATGATCAATCTACCATTTTATCGCATGATAAATTGAGCATCATATGATTTAAGTCTTTAGATATCATACCACCACCCTAAAAAAAAATAAAAATAATAATATATATTTAGACATGATGCCATTAAAATTTAACTCGTATAAATAGAATCTATGTTTCCTCTTGTCAAGTCATCTAATATAATAACTTAACGAAATTCAAGAAAAAAACTCGCTGAAAATGGTCAATGGTATGAAATTGAAAATGGGATGCTCGATATTCAAAAGGATTCTAGACATTGGGAAAAATGTTCCATTATTACAAACGGCTTCTGCAATTGTGGAACAAATTCAAGTGCAACTCGAATTTCAAATAGAAAATGAAGAAATTCAGGAAGACATTAAGATGAAAGTCTGCGAAGCGCAAAAACAACTGAGCGGTCATAAACTTGATGAAAGAAAATATAATCGAGCATACAAAAATTACATTGAAGTTTTAAAATATATTGATCTATATATCCAAGACATGGTGAATAAAGAAGGTCCGGATAATAAAAATAAAATTCAAAAGAAGCTTCTTTCTTTTGTAAAAGCTTCTAACGTGAGTATTGTCATTTAAAATGACCGTCCCTTAAAGAGATTGTTTTAAATCAAACTTTACTTTATGCACACAGATGAATGAAGTTTATAGGGAACTTTTAAAGAAACTTAAAGATGCAATGAAAGAATTTCATTTTGAAATGGACATGGAAATGTACAGTATTATAGGTACTATAAGCGATAAAGTGGATTCTTTGATGAGCTTGGCTTACTTAAATAGAGGGTTTGATCCAAATCCCAAAGATGTGAAATTAATTATACTTAGTGACACAGACATCGAGGATCCTGATGATAACGACAAGGTAATTCGAGGTAAAAGTGGCCGAGTTCAAAAAAAATATTATAATGGGGAAGCAGTTGCTATAATAAAAGTTAAATATCCACAAAATCAAAATGAAGTAGAAAAGGTTAATAGAGCAGCTACATATCATTTGAAACTTAGTGCATGTAATTCGATTATCAGATTGTAAGTATTCTTCTATGTTAAATAGGGCTCGAATGCCTGCCAATTTTTCACGAAAAATTATCTGGATGAAAGATCTACAATGTTATATTGTTCTTTTTTATCCTTATAGCAAAGGAACATTTGCTTCATGCGGAAATATGTATATTGTAACCGAATGGGCTGAATACGGGAACCTCGAACTGTATCTTCAAGAAGATATTGTAATTCCCTGGTCCGAACGCATTAAATTTTCAACACAAATTGCTTCCGCGATTCAATTCTGTCATAATAGTCAAATACTACATCATAATCTTCGTAGGTAATTAATTAATTTATTTGCCTTAAGATTCCTAAGATTATTAAAACATTTAAATATTAATTAACTATTTTTTTCTTTGCAATACTAGTATAAATGTCTTAATTGATAAAGACAAAAATGCTAAGCTAACTGGATTTGAGCAAGCTAAGTTTACTTTCGAAGGAACTCGACCTTTATCTGACCAAGATGGAATGCGGTAATCTTTATACGCAACATTATTATGGTGTTTTCTATAGAAAAGAATTATCAGGTTGTTGGAATGACATATAGACTTATGAAGTAGTCCTTTTTTTTATAAAATATTGTTTTCTTTCTATGGAAAACACTTCCATATTCTCATTATATAAGTTTTGATATTTAATAAGAATTATCTTGTTTTTAAAATAGGTATTATCCAATAGAACGATTTAAAGGCGGAACCCATATATGGTGTAAAAATTGTGATATGTATAGGTAAATATAAGAATGCCGAAGTCAATATTTTATTAATAAATACACTAATTAGGGGTTCAATTTTTTTTCAGTTTTTCAGTATTGCTTTGGGAAATTGCTTCAAGAAAAAAACCATTTGAGAATATTTCAACCGAAAATTTATTAGAAATTTTACCGGAACAATTGCAAACTGGTAAAAATCCAGGCAAAATTGGCGATGATACGCCTCTAAAGTTTAAAAATATAATCGATAGTTGTGGCTCCTTAAAACAAGAAGATCGACCCAGTATTAAACAAGTTTCTAGAGATCTTAACACTCTATATCTCAATTATGAAAGACAATAAATAGATCTTAATTTAAATTTTTATTTTATTAATAATTTTACTATTTAAATAACTTAAATATAAAATAAATATGTTTATCTTTGTATAGAGATAACTTAATATCAACTTAAATAAGGCTTTCCTGTAATTTTATTTTAACCTTTAGATACATTGCGACTCCATTGCTTATCAGCAATATTAAATGGATTGGATTTTGATTTCCAATCAGATTTGAGCCATCCTGAAATAGATTTCACTAATTTCTCGGCGGTCGGACGTTTGTTTGGATCATCATCTAGACACTCTTTCATTAATTCGACATAGCAGTTTGGCGTCTCAGGAGGGAATTTAGGTCGTTCACCGCGGTAAATGTCAATTTTGAGATCAGTGCTATTGTAATTTTCAAAGGCACGATCATGCGAGGCAAATTCAGTCATTAGAATACCAATTGCATAAATATCAGATGCTTTTGATTTGGGATATTTCTTTAATAACTCTGGTGCTAAGTATGGAATATTTCCCGCAGGAGGATCATCAGATGATTTATTTTGAGATGCTTCTTTAGAATTTGCAGGTCGAGACAAACCAAGATCTGTGATGCAGATATCACTGGTATATTTTAAAAGTATATTCCCACAATGAATATCACCATGTACGTAGTTAAGCTGATGAATGCCACGTATGCCGTTACAAATAAAATACAAATACTGAAGTTTTTTCTGCCACTTCAATCGGTCTTTCCCTTGAACAAATAATTCCTTTTTAATATCACCTTTTGGTAGATATTCCATTACTAATATGTAATTCTTTGTATTTGGGTTTTGTGCGATTCCATAATATCTGCAAACTATCCAAATATCTGACCTGTGAAACTCGATATTGGACCTTAACTGATAAAATATAATAATGCCTAAGAATATAATTGAAAAATAATACAATATAAAGATACATATGAAAAGTTACCTCATTAAGGTATTCTTGATCAACATGTTCTGAACGATTAATCTCCTTTAATGCAACGGTACATGGTTCGCTACGAGTTTTGATCCAAATCCCATCATCTTGTTTTTTTGCAATTCTAATGCCATCAAGCCAAGTCGCCTTAAAAACTACACCGAAACCACCTTCTGCTATTTTTTCAATATCTTTAAAACGATCATAATGAATGAATTCCAAATAATTATAATAATCCGGAGCCGAACTTTGAGATTCCCGAATTAATAGATTTATATTGTCATTTCCAGTTGTCCATGTATTAAATTTATCATTAAGTTCTTTTCGATCGCATGTATCGCACCAAGCAGGGGCATTGAATTCATTTTCGCATCTTGGGCAAGTACCGAAATTTGGATAATTTTCGTCAATATCTAAATCCATTACTAATAAGAAATTCTTTGTATTTGGGTTTTGCGTGATTCCATAATATCTGCAACTATTTGAACTGTAAAAATCAAATTCGGCTTTTAAATTACAAATAAATGATAATACCTAAAAAGAATAATTGAATCAATATATTGCACCAATTTTTAAAGATTAGTTGAATATGAAAGATTACCTTATTAATGTAGTCTTGATCAATATTTTCTGATTCCTTTATCTCTTTTAATGAAACGACATATGGTTTACTACGAGTTTTGAACCAAATATCATTATTCTTTTTCAATTGATTTAAAAACTTTTTCTTTGTGATTCTAATTCCATCAATCCAAGTCGCCTTAGAAACTTCTCCGAAACCACCTTTTTTTATAAATTTAATATTCTTAAAATGGTCGTAAGGAATGAATTCCAAGTAATTTTCATAATTCGGAGCCAATCTTTGGGATACCTGAATTAATAGATCAATATTTTCATTTCCTGACGACCACATATCAAATTTATCAATAAGTGCTTTTCGATCGCATGTATTGCACCAAGCAGGGGCATGGAATTCTTTGTTACAATTTGAGCAAGAACCGAAATGTGGATAATCCATTATTAATGAGAAATTCTTTGTATTTGGGTTTTGCGTAATTCCATAATATCTGCAATTATCTGACCGGTGAAACGCGATATAGGCCTTTAACTAACAAATAAATAATAATACTAAGAATATAATTGAAAGATTTAAGATTGGATAAATATTGAAAATCACCTCATTAATGTAGTCTTGATCAATATTTCCTGATTCCTTAATCTCCTTTAATAAAATGGCACATGGCTCACTACGAGTTTTTATCCAAGTTCCATCAACTTTTTTTACGATTCTAATGCCATCATTCCAAGTCGCCTTAGAAATTTCTCCGAAACCATTTGCGATTCTACTTCCATCAAGCCAAGTCGCCTTAGGAATTGCTTCGAAACCACCTTCTTCTATATATTTAATATCTTTAAAATGATTGTAAGGGATGAATTCCAAATAATTGTAATAATCCGTAGCCCATCTTTGAGATTCCTGAATTAATAATAATATATCTTTATTTTTATTTTCCTTGGACCATGTATCAAATTTATCAACAAGTGCTTTTCGATCGCATGCATCACACCAAGCTAGAGCATAGCAAGTTTTTTTGCAGCCTGGGCAATGACCGAAAGGTTTTTCATTATTGTTACTATATAAATCTAAACTATCTAAAATATCAAATTGACTTTCGGATAGCATGTTTCGATTTTAAGTGTGAAAAATGTTAGTTACTAGGAAGTGATTGTTATATTTTATATTTATTCAAAGAGCAAATTGCAAGATAATCAGGTGGCCTGGTATCATACTATAATTGTGAATCAGCTGATTGTCCGAAGAGAAAATATTGGGATGTTTTTTTGTTTAAGAAACGAGACATTTCTTTAGATGAAATAATGCAAACAAAATCACATGGTCATATAGTATTTTCGACTATATTAGGTCCGATACTCCGATACAACAAAGCCTTTCATATCTATTTGCGATTGTTAAAAATTTTATCGTACGATTTGTACAGAACTGGATTACACGAATTATTCTGATTCCTATCACACGTTGACAAGATCCAATATCGGATGATATTCTTAGTAATTTCGTACTGCTCCGCGGAAATATTATTGGCGGGAAACATTTGTAATAGTTGCCTATCTTAATAAGTTACTTTGTTCTATCACGCAATTACGAAATAACAACAATAATTAATTACTGCTTACGTATTTTCTTTGGAATTGGAAGCAAACACATATCAAAATATAACTCCGCTTATGATTATTTTACTGTTATATATAATGCGTATATACAATAAGTTTTTATATACAGTATTGCGCATTAATGCTAGTTTTTACCTTTAGGATTTGGGTCTTTAACATGAACGAAATCGCCCCCTTTCAGGTTTAAAATTCGAAACAATGGATCCCACTATCATTTAACAATGAATAACGTTAGATATAATTATAAATAGCCGCGCACTATATTTACTAATTATTTTTTTCCGACCTGGAGCCATATATTTCACAATATATATCAAATAATAAAGTTAGAATGGAAATTATCGGAATTCACGTGACGGTTACGTCAGAATTAAAAAAAAAAACGTGCTTTTTGAATAACAAAATCCAGAACTCGCGCTCGCAAATCCTCAAATATTAAAACTGTTATGTGACTTGCAAAGTCTAAACTGTAATAAAAAAAAAAATTATTTAGGTATTAAAGAAGCAAAAATTATACTAGACAAATTGGGTAATTGGCGTTGGTTGCAGTGTTATGTAAGTGAAGTTATCAGCGTGTTTTTTGTCTCTACTGTTAATTATTTAATGTCCTTTTAATATTTTTTTATTGACTGTAGTCAGCCTTAATACCAGATTTTTAAACATTTTCAATTTGTAAGTTTAGTTTAAATATCCGCATCTTTTTAATTCTTGAATTATGTAGTTGAATCGCAATTCATCTCAGGAGGTCTACGACAAAAATGGTGCACTGGAGTTAACGAAAGGAGACTATTGGTTGCGGTCGTTTTCTTTATTAATTACTATTATACTTATCTAAGAAGGAGTTAATAGGATCAGTCTAATTGCAATCCTCCAATGATTCGATTCCAATGCTAGACGTGTCGTTTATCAAGCAGTTTATTAATCCGTCAACGGTTTCTTCGAACGCATAAGAGCAGAAAATGTCTAACTTTAGTTATACGGTCTTGAATAAATTACACACCATCATTACCATTTCTCCTTTATAATTTAGTATAAGCTTCAATAAAAGAATGTGTCGTCGATCGGGAAATATTTGTATCATTAATTTCATTACAAAGATACCCGGAGTTCTTTATGTTTTTATTTTTTTTTATTTTTTATTTTTTTTAAAAGAAAAAAAACTAGCGTTCAAGTTAATCACATTTCCTTAACTGAATGATAAGCTAATCAATTTTTCGTATCATTTAAATTCATTATTAGAAATTACTCACTCAGATTTTAAAATTATTAAGTATTTTCTTTTTTGTAATTTTTTTTTAAATTTTAATGATTCAAGTAAAAAAAACTTAAATATAGATCCACCAATATATAATCGGAATATACGTGATCTCCACTTATTTCGATTTTCAAGGCGGAATTAAAAAAATTTGTTTTTGTAATAAGTTGCATTTAAAAACATCAATAATCATAATTATATTTCATTTTCAACAATTTTTTACTATTCTAATTCACATTATATCATATCATCTCCAATAACATGTAATATGGGATCTTTGATTTCTTCTGATGGCGAATCAGTAATAATTAATTTAGATTTTGTTGTAGCTGTTGTTGAATCTTCTGATGAAGGATTCGGTGATATCAATGCTTCATTGATTGTATTTACTGTTTCCAAAGTTTTTTTCTTAGCATTTTGAATTCTAACAAATTATATTTATGTATATTAATTATATAAATATTGATGACAAAAAAATTTTAAATAAAATTGACATACGTTTCAGATGATGCTAAAGAGGAAAGTCCTTTGCTCAAACTATGCCATGCACTTGATGTAATATCAGCTGTTTTACGTCTTGTCTGTTGAATTCTAGAGATAAATTATTAATATTAGACACATAATGTGCTGATAGAAATTAAGTAGACAAAACTCACGATTGCGAATTGGCAACATCTGTAACTACGGTTTTAATCTGTGTCAATTTTTCTTGTGTTCTAAAAAAGTTTTTTTTTAAAAAAAAAAAAAAAAAAAAAAAAGGAATTAAATCTTAACTTCAACGTCAACTACATTTTGGTACCATGACTAACGAGATTAAATACGTACAATTCACTTTCTTTCACTTTCTGTATTCCACCAATAACACCTGCGATTCCTTTACTTAAACCGTCCATAAACCCCTTACCTTCTTCTTCTGAAGTACTTGCAAAAGAAAATGCTGATGATGGTGATGAAGGTGAATTACTATTACTTGCTTCATCAATATTTTTCGCAAAATAAGTTTCCCATTGTTTCTTTAATAATCGTAATTCCTCTTCATGTCTTTTTAATTCTTCTCGTAATTCCAAAACTTTACGTTCTTTCCTTGCTATAAAATGTAAGAACTCGGAATGTTGTTCAGATGATGTTGCTGGTGTTAATCGAGAATTTTTAATTGCGAGCTCGGTTTCTATCTGTGGGAAAAAAAAAATACACGAGATTGATAATTATTAAATTTTTATAAAATCATATATAATATTTTCTCTCAGAGCAACGCTCACCTTGAGGTCTTTTTTATCAACAACAATTTTCTCTTCAGGTGATTTCTGTGAATCCAGCTTTACTTCCTTCACCGAACCTACTGAAAAAGGTCTTTCACTTCTTAACATTTAAACGAATATTATAAAAAGCAAGTTCAAAATACGAACATGAAATAAATCCATAAGAAAATGTTTAAACTGTATAACGATATATATGCAACTTTTATGGCGATTGCAAGATCCGTGTAACTTATCCCTAACATTTTAATCAATCATATGAAGAAAGAATTACGTTGTTCTTCCACGCGACCCCCAAATATATCTTATATTCCAAATAAGGTTAATACCATGTTACGACACGTGTAGGATCCGTCCGATCTTCAATGATCATCCCCCAAAGACCGATTTTAAGTCCGATTTTGAATTTAGTAGAAGTTGCTAAAATATCAGAAGACATGTTAATCATTATCATCATCAAATGTTTCACAAGATAATAAATGTGGTATTACACCTGAAAAAAAAGAATAAAAGAATCAAAAGGATGATCAACGCGTAACGCGAGTAAAAACTTTCTCTTTAAAAATTCATGATGCAAAACTTTACAAAACTTGGAAAAAAAATCATTGCGATTGGTCGTAATTTTAGGTATTAACCGCAATAATTGATTGTTATGCTCTCATTATCCTTGTTCATATATTATTTGTTTAAATAAATAAAAATAAAATAAAATATAATAAAGTGAGCATGCAAAGGAACTCGGTAATGCAGTTCCAACAACTCCATTCTTCTTTCTTAAACCAACCTCCTCTTACCTTTTATCAGGTGAAGTAGAAATACCAAAAGGTTGTGTTGTTCATCATGAAGGTATGTTGTACATAATTATCTAACCTTATTTATATACCTGACTATATTATTGAGCTTTTTTATACCATTAGTCGAATTAGGTGTAGTAATTGGTAAAGGAGGAAGAGATATTCGAAAATCCGAAGCAATGGATTATGTAGAAGGTAATCGAGACGCGTAAACCTTGTTCCTTGCTAATAATAATGTGTTGACAATTTTTAAAATAAAATTCTATTTAGGATACGCACTTGGTATTGATATGACAGCGCGTAATCTCCAAGTAATTGTTAAATATTCACGTTATAATTCAACCTTCCTATACTTTATTTAGATTGTACCTGTAAATTGTAGGATGCAGCAAAAAAAAATGGGTTACCGTGGAGTGCAGCGAAAGGTTTTGATACATTTACTCCGGTCGGGTAAGTCGAGGACACTTTGCATTAATTTAAAAGTACAATAAATATTAACTTAATTTTTTTTTAGAGAATTTATTCCAAAATCTGAAATCAAAGATCCTCATAATGTAAATTTATGGCTTAAGGTACAACTTAAGATATTTTCTAATACAAAATTAATATGAAAGTGCCAATTCTCATGATTTTTATTATTATGATTAGTTAAATGAAGAAATTAAACAAAATGGTGTAACGAAAGACATGATATTCAAGATTCCTACATTAATCGAATATATAAGCTCAATCATGACCCTAGAAAAGGGTGATTTGATTTTAACGGGTAAAGAAATATTTTATTTCCTTCAAACGTTATTAAAAGTATCTTGTAAAACATTTTAAATTTTTTTTTTTATTATTTATAGGTACACCTTCAGGTGTTGGACCTATTCTTCCAGGTCAAGTAATTACTGCAGGATTAAATGCTGATAATAAAAATATATCTACAATTAAATTTTCTGTTGTGGAAAGAGTTGGATTATTTGAATATAAACAATAATGATTATTTAAATTTAAATTCTTCAAACAAATTATTTATCTTTAAAAATAATTAATCTATTAAATATCAAACCAATTAAATAACGATTTGCCTTATAAATAAATAAAGTAAATAAATCAATCGGTGTCATTCCTGACCAGATCAAGTACACTAGTATCTTCCTCATCTTCATCGCTCATATCAACCTCCCTTTCAAATAATGAAACGTCCACTGTAACATCTCCCTCTTCGATATACTTCATATCTGAATTAGCAAGAGATTCATCTTGTTCAAATAATTGTCGTCCTAAAAGGAATAAAAAAAAAAAAACTAATTAGAAAAAATTTGTTTAAAAAAAAAAAAAAAAATTCTTGATTTACCTGTAAGTTTTAATTTTTTGGCTTCTTCTTTCTTTATAGCTAATAAATTTTTAGAAGCCTTCTCCTTATCCGCTAATTTTTTATCAAACATTTCCTTCCATTCCAAAAATGATGCAACTGTGACCTTTGTTCCCTGAAATTTGGCTTGTTCTATCTATAAATCATGGAATAATCTTAAGAAAGGTATGTTTACCATGACGTTAAACTCGAATGTTTATTTACCTCAATTTCTCTTCTAATTCGATCTTCTTCGTCTTTCTTTTTCCGATTATTTCTTTCCATCACAAATGTTGTTAGCAAATCTTTAAGCAATGATGATAATGTGAATACCATCGCCATTCCTAATGAACTTTGTGCCTTGAATTTCATAAAGAAAAAGGTTAATAAATTTTATTCCGTGAAAAATAAAAATTTTTAGAAATCTTTCAAAACAAATATAATATACAAACATATATTGGTATACCTCTTTCATCAGTTCTGAATGTAATTTCTCAGTTTCATCAGCCTCAATAGATCCATCTAGTGTATCGATTGATATTTCCGGAACTTCTTCCGGATAAGTTGGTGTATATTTTATATGTAAAGCTAAAGTCACTGTTATAATCGAACGAATAAGTCAGAATTGTTTAAACAAAAAATTTTTTTTAATATATAGAAGTGATTAAAAGATAAAAATAAAAAAAATAATAATAAAAATGATATAAAAACCTTACGCGGTGCTGTACTATCTGGTTCTTCGGGTTCAAGTCGAATACGAAATTCCCCTTCCGCAATTTCTATTAAACAGACAATTGAATATTCAAGACATGTAATTACATAGAATAGAAACATTAATTCTTTCATAATTGATTGAAATTTACCCTCGAATTCATCTGGATAAATCGATTTTAACACCTCTAATTCTTGTTCTTGTTCCTCTTTATAATCTGTATAATTATTATAATATATTACAATTAAAAATCTTTTCAATTTGTTAATTAATTAAACATATAAAAACGCTTCTTAATTACCAGTCATTTTTTAAATTTATTTATGAAAGAATTCAGAAAAGTAGTTGATAAAATCCGATCTTTTTTTTGCGGTCGAATTTTTATTTTAGCCATTCACCTTGCTTTATTTCACATGATCAGAAAATTCGCCGCAGCAAACCAAATTTTTTAATGTAAAGGCAGGAAAATAATTGTCGTTAAAGACAAGGTAAAATGGTAAATTGATCACGTGATCTCGAAAATCAAACTATATTTAAATTTTTCTTGTATACATCCAGAAAGATTAAATATTAGAAAAAGCAGTGGCATCCACGAAAATTTTTATGAATTTTTTTATATCAACAATAGAATATATATTATCATATAAATAAAGCTTTATTAAAAATTAATTATACAAAAAGTATTTTTTAAATATAAATAAATTTAAATAAATTTTTATATATAAAATCAATTATAAAAAAATTTTATTATTATAATTTTAATAAATAATAAAATAATTTAGATTCTTTGTAGTAGAAAAAAACTACCAAAAAAAGTTTTTTTTTTTTATATTATAAGCTAAATATAATTTTTTTAATAAAATAAGTTCAGATTTAAAGTTTTTTTTTTTTTTTACTATAAAGCTTCTATTTAATTAATATATAAATAAACATAATAAAATTTTAAAAATGCTATAATATATTTTTTAAATTTTAATTTAAAAATTATTTTATTCTTATTAAACTTAATAAAAATTATTGTAATTTATATTTTATAAAAAATTAATATTTATATTTAAAACCTTTTTAAATCATTAATTAAATTTTATAAATTATTAACTGATTTTCAAATTTAATTTTTTCAATAATATAAAGCTTTTTTATTTTTTATTTAATAGCATTTAAACTATTAAAATTACCTTATATTAAGTATTTATTAGTATTATCATTCAATATATATATATTTATCTATTATAAGTTATTAAAATCCAATTTTATAAATTATTAATATTTTTAATTATTAATAATGATATATTCTTATTATATTATTTATTTATTTTTATTACAAATTATTTTATTGATTTTAAAATTTTAATTTTTATTTTAAATCTTTAATTTGCTAAATTATTTATTTTATTATATATATTTTTTTAAATTTATAAATTATAAAATATTTCTTTTTTATATATAATTTTATTAATTGATTATAAAAAGGATTTTTACCAGCTAAAGGTAATATGATATAATAGTATTCTATATATATTTTAAAGTCAAGAAATTATAAAACAATATATCATATAATTTTATTAATAAAAAAAATATTATAAAAAATTATAACATTAAGAGATTAAAAAATAATTAATTAAATAAAAGTTATAATGAATAAACAATTAACTAAAATTATATGTTATAAATAGTAAATTATATAATATAATTTAAAGATAAATCATATAATAAATAATATAAATATATTATAAGATACAAATAAATTACAAAATATAAAAAAATAAATTACTAAAACTATAAGGAAAAAAATAATAAAAAAATCTTTAGAATAGAAAAAAAAAATGATAAATATGTATAAAAGTTATAAGAAGCTAATAACATAAAATTATAAAATACTTGTATAACCTATATATTCAAAAAAGATTGCTAAAAATAACAAAAAAAAAAAAATATGAATATATTTAAAGATGCAAAAGAAAAAGAAAAATTACTATACAAAATATAAAGAATGTGAAAGAATAAAAGAATAAAAATGGAATAAAAAATATCTAAAAATAAATATAATATAATAATAATATATAATACATAATATATAATAATAATAATATAATAATCTTTAGGATAAAAATATAAAATATTAAAAAAAAATTGAAAATAAAAATACAAAATATTAAAAAAGAATTGAGAATGAAAATAAAAAAATATTGAGGAAGAATTAGAAATAGAAATATTAAATAATATTTTTTTTTTGATAATTTTAGTATTAAAGACACTAAAAATCTTTATGAGTGATTATATACATGTCTAGGATTACTAGATAGTCTAATGCTAATCATTTAGACTTTTTAAGTCATAATTAGACATTGCTAATCAGAATCTGTCTCTGAAATACTGATACAAAGTTTACCTCTAGATAACATCCTTAAGAGTAAACCTTAGGACTTCTATATCTTGAAACTACTGTCAAATTTGAATAAAATGATTACTTTTAGCTACAGATACTTATGTCACTTTTTTCCTGCACTTACCAATACCATATTTGGATTACTATTACTTTTGCCCAATATCAGGATATTTTTACACATAATTGAAAAGATTTAAATGTTATCATTTTTATAGAATCTCAAAAAAGTAGATAGCTGTTGTATCCATATTATCAAATTCACCTGAGAATTAACCTAACCTCTAACCCTAATGGTAGCTCAATTAGATGATATTACAATAGTATAATACAGTCTATTATTATCATAGCTATCCTAAGGTAGTACCTAATCTACTAATTACTGGTTAACCACTTCCTTACTAATGTAAAAGCCCCTGAATTTAAAAACATGAGACAGTATCTATTATAGACTTGTCAGTAAAGGTTAAGTTTCTATCAATTTTTAACTTTATTTACATCAACTTGTTCTATAAGATTCAGTATTTAGGCATGATCAATATTGATTGATGGATTGATTGACTAGTTTCTAATACATATTAATATATATACCTATGCAGTGATATACATTTTTGATGTTTCAGAAATTTTTTTTCCTAGCTATATGTTCTAGCTATATATCCCAACCTGTCCCATACTATATCTCAAATGTCCTATCTATGTTTCATCAGTGTTTCATCAACATTTTATAATAATATTGTATTTACGTATTTAGTTATATACAAATTCTTATAAAAATCATCTAGTTTTATGCCTCAGCTAAAACTTGAATCTGTGGTTATCGCAGTGTGTCTTATAATAAGAGTTTAGTTATTACTAACTAAACTAGAGATGTTAGTTCCTTAGAAATATCAAATATTATAAAATAAATAAAAATAAATAGAAAACTAAAAATAAAAATGACATACTGTATTTCTCTAAAACCAAGTAACATATTTTTGTTATATTATTGCTTATTTTTGGGTATATTTGACTAACTTACAATGTATAATCTAAAATTCTACTAATTCATCAATAAATTTCATAATCGTTAATTACGTTAATCATCAAATATCACATAAATCGTAAAAAAATTTTTTTTATTCAACTAAAATGCCACATTCTACAAAAAAAAATTGTTAAACGAAAGGTTATAAAAGTTA